CACTCCTGACACAGTGTGCCAGCATCCTCACACTCCTGACACAGTGTGCCAGCCTCCTCACATTCCTGACACAGTGTGCCAGCCTCCTGCACTCCTGACACAGTGTGCCTGCATCCTCACACTCCTGACACAGTGTGCCAGCCTCCTCACACTCCTGACACAGTGTGCCAGCCTCCTGCACTCCTGACACAGTGTGCCAGCCTCCTGCACTCCTGACACAGTGTGCCTGCATCCTCACACTCCTGACACAGTGTGCCTGCATCCTCACACTCCTGACACAGTGTGCCTGCATCCTCACACTCCTGACACAATGTGCCAGCCTTCTCACACTCCTGACACAGTGTGCCAGCCTCCTGCACTCCTGACACAGTGTGCCAGCCTCCTGCACTCCTGACACAGTGTGCCTGCATCCTCACGCTCCTACCTCCATGCTTCCCCTCCAGGAGAATTATCTTCGACCCTGAGTTGACGCAAACCTTTCCTATCTGTGTTGCTTTCTGTCAGGTATTTGGCCAGCAACTAGAGGAGTAACTAAGTAAAGATGTTCTACACTCTGGGCTGCTGCACTGTCAAGTCATGCTTCCTTCCTTTCTTGGTTTGGTGTTCATTTGTTTTTGAGACAGAGACTCATTGTGCAGCCCTGGCTGTTAGGGAACCGGCAAATGTAGTCGTATTGGAAGAAACTAGAAATAGATTTTGTGTTGTCATTGGTTTTACAGTAGTTCATCTGACAACGGACTGAGTCAGGAGTTGTGGCCTACCAACAGATCTGAGTGAGGTAGGCCATGCACCTTTTCCTGGTTGCACAGTGCAATGAGCGTAGTCATGTCTTGCATCTTTATGTTAGGTTCATGAGGAACTGCAGTTCTTATTTGAATCACCTGAATGAATTAATTCACCTGCCTCTGAATTAGCCCACTTGCCAATCATTAACAGAAGAAACTGGTGTGACTTTACAGAGTAGAAGAGGGTGAAACCAGCAGTTTGCTCTCAACTCCTGGTGTCTCCTAGGTGTGTGTACAAGAGAAAGAAGACTGTTGCACACATTTTTGCTAATAGAGCAGAAAAGAGGGAAGTGATTGTTCAAAGAAAGAAGCACATGATCATGATCTCAGAAGGGAAAATTGAAATCCGATAGAGGCTGAAGGTATCCATCTGGAATTTGGCTTCCCTTTAATACCATGGCAAAAACTCTTCCTTCCACTGGAGTCTCCACTATACAAACATGGCTCATTTGTTGTCCAGATACTTTCTTTTTTTGTTCTCTGTGCTAATGTTCCCCATATGTATGAACCAAGTTCACACATCCTCACAGTCATTCTGCCTCTATTGGCATGGTCTCCGTTTGCGTGCCATATGGAACTTTGCCTGCATCCCTTCCAAGCCCAATATAAAGTCTGAAATGTATCCTTCCCTGCACTTTGTATTTTTATACCTTTGGAACTTGACAAAAGTTTTCCCCGTCAAAATACGACTGATCTTCTTTACTCTGCAGATAGTAAAATTCAAAGACTTATTGCCTTCTAATTTTTGCGTTGTTAGCCAAATTCTCCCCTCTGAGTAGGCAGAGGTATAGCAGTGTCTCATCAAATCCCCCCCCCCCCCATTTTTGGTCCTACAGGGATAGCCTTGTCACGTGTTCTTGGGGAACTGGATGGCAACAGCTGATTCTCCTTTGAGCTTTTCAGCTAACTCTTTGCCTCGAGAATGATACTCTGGCAAGTGGCCATTTGTTACCATAGGAATGAAGATTTGCCTCAGGGAGCCTGATACAATTTGTAAATCATGAAATTACTTGGAGTGATTGCCTCCCAACTAAAATTGCTTTAGAAAATTTATCTGGTGACTATGCATATATAAACAATTCTATAAAAAATATACATTGCCTCTTAGGTCACCAACTAAAACACAATGCTTAGTTTCAGTTGGGTCTTCTTGCTTTTCCCGTGCCTTCTCTAATTTCTAAGATCCAGATCAAGTGGACCAAAGTGTCTTTGCCTGTGTATTGCTATGGACCTAGCCACAAATCATGGAGTTGTGGCAATAATCACAGTTTCTCTCTTTCTGCACACTGTCAGGGCCAAATTTCATTTTGATTTTAATGATTTGTTTTATTGGACATTTAGTTCTTATTTTGACTTTTCTAGTGTTGATATTCTGTATTAAGCACTATTAAAATACAACTTTTTTGTAAAGAACAGTCATAAAAGACTTCAATATCAAATGAGTAATCCCTTTGGGTGTGTGTGTTCTATATTTTCCTGTCAAATATCATATACCAATTTTTGACCTATTGACAGTAATGTGATTATTGCACAACTGCATATTTAAAAATTAATTAATAAATAAAAGTGGGACTTTTAACTGAATTGAGTTTGGATGCTTATTTAGAAAGCTGATGTTTCTTTTTCCTATGTCTATTTAGATTATCTTTGCTTTTTTTTTGAAGTTTCTGCTCTTTTCATTGCAAATTACCTAACAGAAGTCACATATTTATCATTCAATCTGTGTTAGCTTTTCAAGTTTTAAGTGGAAAATTTATAGTCCAGCCTAAAACTCTAGTAGCTTCTTGATCAGTTGTGCAAACTAAAACCATAGACTCAATTAATAAATTGAGAGAGTGGAGTGGAGTTCCCAATGGAGCCTAGGAAGAGGTAGGAAGGAGGGTGTAAGCAGAGAGCCTGGGGAATAGGGGTCACAGTTAGACAGGGGGACCTGGTCCCCGTGTCCTACAGAAGAGATCAATTGTAGTCTTACTTAAGCTTCTTAGACACGTCTAAATAGCTAGAAGAAGAGGGTTCCAGCACTGTCCTCGTGTAGGTTCTGTGCTTGACGAGATGGATTGGATCATTAAATCACACATGCGCATCACACTGCCTTTCTCTGCTAATGATGTGCAAACATGTGTCAATTAAAAATGAAAAATAACCATTAGCGCATTAAAATTGTATGCGGTTCATGAGATCAAGTCTTTTCCTTTGTGCCTGTGCTCCCCCATTTCCAGCTGTCTTTGCCACTGTCCATGTCCAATTCTACTGCTCAGCTTAGAGGCGCTGACATGACTTCATGGCTATCTGAAATTATTTTGGAGGGTGATGCAAAACAAAGTTCTAAAATATTAGCAAAACAGATTGTAGCATTCAGATTTTAAGAATTATCTTATTCACTTTCTAGATTAAGTAGAATATTTTATTAGACTTCAACAGCATCACTATTAAAAGTGGATGCTATTTTAGGGAAGGAATTTTATTTTTGTACAAATCTTTGATTTATTCAGGGGAAATTCTTCCTATTGGTAGATACCACAAAACGGATACTGTGAGGAGGCAAGTAAGAAAAATTAGTACAGGTATCTGAGAAAACAGTTTTGGGCTGCAAGACTCAACAAAATTAGCACATTGAGCTTCCAAAACGGCATAGCTGTGCTCTGTTTCAGGTAAATTAATGGACAATTTGTTGCCACACAGTAGTTATTTGTAACTCTTCTATTTCCTCCAATATTTTTGGTTGGAATATTTATTTGATGAAGAAAGAAGGAAAATTTCTTTTTTCTTTCTTTCACACACACATATGTATATGTGAAAGAAATATATATGTATGTATGTATACACACATATAGTTTTTTTTGTTTGTTGGGATGGTCCCCACTCACCTTGATTCAGCTACTTTCAGTACTGCTTCCTCCTGAAGGGGCCTCCTCCGTCAGCCACACTTTTCTGCCTGTGGGCTGGCGGGGCAGTGCAGTTGCTGGCACACAGGACTGGCGTGATTTTACAGCATCCTGAACCTTTCACATCCATAAAGTAGGAATTGGGTCACTTTTTATTCTGCTTTCTCTTCTCTTTTCTTCCGGAGAGGTATGAAGGAGAGCCTTTGTGGGAGGCATGTTCTCGTTCTCGTAGGGAGCAGGAAGATTCCCTGAATGAAGATGTGCCAGTGATATTTACATCCCCTTTGTTGTTATATGTGATCTTGTTTAGAGTTATCGTGATAGAATTTTCTGGGTACTATGCTTGTGCTCATATATCTTAGATGATGCAGTCCATATTTAAACAGAACTTATGAATTTTAGCATTTTAACTCCATGTTAAAATAACTTCTATAATTAAGCGAACATGAAAAAGCAAGACATCCTCAAAATGCCTTGGAATTAAACTTGCTTATCAAATGTTTTTATACTGATGTTTATGCCTGAATGTACCTTTGTGGTAAAGAACTCAATTACTTAGCATAAAATAGATATATAAAGTTGTTCAAAGCAATTAAATGTGATTTCGAATATTAAAAGCAAATGTCCTTAAAACAGATACCAACATACATATATGTATTTATATATGTATAAATGGAATTTCATGTTAGGGATGCATATTAACATTTTATCTTTTCAGAAATATAAACAATTGCATCTTCTATGCTTCCTAAGTCTCAGCCTCATCAGAATCCCCACTACTATAGCATCACTGACTCCTTTGTGACAGTCCTGTAGCATCATAGGCCATGCAGCTAGCGACGGAAGCCATTATGTTGCTTACTACTTCCCCTGTAATTATTTTTCATGTCTCTTCCAGAGAACTCCACGAGGCATTTTTCCTGTCAGTACAGGATAATGGAAAGTAATTCTATACTCAAGGGCTTTAAAAAAAAATGCACCATTACTTTAGTCTCATTTGATTTTGCCTTGCTATATTCGTCACACATATAAAAATACAGTTTCTGCTTTTCCTCATGAAAAGCGTTTCAGGGCTACAATGTAGGAAAGACAGAAAACAGCGGAGCGCAACTATATGGCGCTTTCTTTCGTTCCTTTGTCTTTATTCTGTTTTCCTTTCTCTGGCACTGGGAGGAGAGAAGCAAGCAACACTCCTCCCATATGCTTCAACTTTCACGTCTGTTTTGCCGTTATCCATCCTGTTAAGATATAATTAATGAGAGCTTTCCCGAATTTCAAACATCCTGAAAAGCAGCCAATCCCTTCCCTTTGGAGGCTATATTGACGCTAACAATAGAAGTGAGGTGGTGCGGGCTTTTGAAGGCTTTAGAAAACCCACCCTTACGATCTTTGTTCCACCTCTGGGGAAAGAGGACATCCTTGCACGTGTCTGGCATTGTTCACGACAACACTGCAACCGAAATAAAGCGGAGTTTCTGGGAGTAGCATTAGGATGCAGCACTCCCGCTGTGCGCACCAGTTCCCCGCTCTGCACAGCTGCCTTCTCAGCTGGGGGTTTGAAATCAGCACTGTGAGGAAAGACAGAAATGACCGTGATGCATGCCCCTCACTATGAGGAAAAGGTAATGTTCAATTAGCGTGTCAGCCTGCTGCTTTCTCGCTGACTTATTTCTGTCTGCTTGTTTGTTTGCTGTCGCTTTGACTTTCTTTTATGCTTCCTTTTCATTCAATGTAATAAACAGCCCGAACGGAAAGTGTTTGGGCTGTGCTTGCGGGAGAGAAGCCTGCACTACTGCGGCTTTACCAACATCAAGAACAGTGTGTGCATTGAAACCCACAGGGCAGCAGCGTGGCTCACGCTGTCCTGGCTAAGCCTCATGCGAGACAGAGAAAATACAGTTGAATAAGAGCCTGCACTAAAGGAGCTTTTATGAATCCAAGGCTGAGGTGTCAAAGATTCTTATTAGCCTTACCTGAGCCTCCACTGTAAAATGCCTCCCAGGGTGTTGACAGTGAGCTGTGTTTTACATGTGATCCGAGTATTAAAACCTATTCCTTTTCGTAAGTTGGAGTTTCAGCTCTTCAGGCATAGCAATCACATTATCTTCTTGTTTAGGGCTTAAAAACAGTATTTGGATCATATAGATAAAAATTTAAAAGAAACGTGATTTTATAGAATCCTATTCTTCAAAAGATTATATTATTCTACTTCTTAGGGGCAACAAATCCATGAGGGCCCTGAGGAGAATCCTTTTATCCTCTTTGAGAAGAATTTATTTTACCAGCACAGAGGGATCTGAGAAAAGGCTGATTCTGTGACATGAAAGTACATGTTGAATGTGCCAGTGTGTGCCCAGCTTGGCTTTCATTGTGTGAATTTCTTCTCGGATTTCCACTGGCCTTCTGCTTGGAAAACTGAATGATCTTGAACTAGAGCTGTGTCCTTAGGATGAAGTCCAGGGAGTGACTATCCATAGGAAACAAGTCAATTCTGTTATATTTCAAATATTCAAACCAAAGCATTGGTTGTTCTTATTTTGATAATAACTATATGTGAAATCATTTTACCAGTCAGGCTCTGGGCTTGGTGGTAGACACAGAAGCTATCCATATAGTCCTACTCCCAAGATTTCCGTAGTCTAATCTGTTTTATTGAGAGAAGATATTATGTGTAACATGTTGTGGAAGTTTGACAGATGTCATTGATTTTCACTCAGTGCACACAAATTTGCCTAAAGGCTGACTGCTCTACAATAGATGAAATCTTACATACCTAGGCATCCAGTGTTTGTTGAATGCATATTTTTACACAAGTCACCATTACAAACTGATATATAGCAAACAAGACAGCAGCCTGCCCCTCCATGTAGTTTACAAGGTACTGAAAGCCTGGGAGGAAGAGGGGCAAAGAGGTCCCAGAAATAGAAGCTGCTGCCCTGATCCCATGGCAACCATACGGTCCTCCTTGCTTTCATGTTGCGTACTTACCTGAAGGAAATTAAGCAATGCTAATAATGGCAAGTGGTGTCAGAGTGCCTGGAAGATTTTTTGAAGGTAAACAACACAGACTATGCAATAGCATAATCCTTCAAATTCTATTTTAAGAAGGATGTTCAGAAAGGTTTACTCTGGTCCCAGTGTGCAGGATTTTAAACTTTGTGCCTTCAGAGTGGTAAGAGATCTTAGGAGTTTTTCTTAGCATTTATCTTGACTTGCTCTTAGGAAAATTATACTGGTTTCTAACGTTTACTGAGATTTCTAAGAACTGTGTCTGCTCTGGGCAGTAGTGGCACTGTAAAAATAAAGATGTGCTTTCTGTCCATCAACTGTCCACCATGGAAGGAACTTGGTAGAATTCATACAGCTTCACGTAATGACTCTCATTTCATTATAATACTATAGTAGAACAATCTTTACCTCTTTTGTGAGCTTATTTCATGATTTCTGTTTTATCTGTTATTCATTTATCATTATCATATAGATATCATATCATATCTATCTACATCATCTAGATTCAACAATTTATTACCTACCTATTATCATCATCTATCTAATCTATCATTTATCTATCCTCTATTTATCTATCATCATTTACCATTTATCATCTTTCGGCCATCCATCTAATATCCCTTTATTTATCTTTTCAATATATATATCCATATGTCTATGGACTATCTATATGTCATCAAACTATATATACTTTATCTCTCTATATATCTATAATTTATCTATCATGTATGTGCATATTTATTTATTTTCAAATAAATACATACTATTTTCAGTTTATACCATAGTACCTGCAATCTATTATCAGCCTAGGTAAAATAATTGACAACCTAAGCTCTCATGTTCCCTAGCAAGTGGGAGTATCTGTATGTTTTAGACAGAGATGATCAGGCATGAGTATAAACTTGCCAGGTTTCGTATGGGAAATTTTGCATCGTCTGATGTTAGGATGGTAAAAGGCATTCTTGACATAATTGTAGGGTATCCTTCTCTCTTAGTTCTTCATGGAAGATAGTTGTTGGACATTGTAAGACTTCATTGATTTCTTTACACATATAGAATAATTGTACACATTTATTAGATGTGATATGCTATTTTCACAGATATATGTCCTGAAATTATCCCGTGTTCATTAAGACGCTCTAAATGACAGTGAGTGGTGTTGTTTAGTTGAGAACATTCCTAACTGAAGCTGTGCACATACACATAGAAACAATTTACTAGAGATTGTTGAGAGCAGAACATTACGTTATAAAATCAAACAATTAGCAATGAAGTTAAATGCAGTTGTGATACCGAAAAAAGTTATGGTGATCATAACTTGGTCGTAAAAAAAGAATCAAAGAAGTTTCTGGTATCTTTACAAGATCTGTGACCAAATGACACATTTGACATTTATTTTTCTCATATAAAATAAGGGATTACATTATTTCTTGGGTTCAGTTTTATGTAAATCTCCAAGTTAATTATGATAAACATTAAAAATCCTTGAAATTATCACTATTTTTGAGGAAACGCGCTGGGCATGAGAAATGAATGTATACAATCCATCCAGCTAAGATCTGAAGGTCTGAGAGACCCAATCTGAAGAAAATGTTCATATGGAAGCCAGGAATGGAGTCACCTGTAGAGGGTCACATGGGGAGTCGCTTATCTTCCAAGCCACTCTTCCTCACGAGTCAAGGAAGAAAGGGTTTAGGAAGAGAGAAATGTTTGCGTGTTGCCTTGAGAGGGAATAAGGACTGAGCATGGAATGCAGTGTTGGAAGCGCATCTTACAACAGAGGGAGCAGCATAGGGCAGAGGTGTGAGGAGCGGGATGCACTGGGATCCTGCTGTCCAAAGCTCTGGATATTCCGGGGGGAGCTTAGACAAGAGGCTGGAAAAGAAAATTGAAACACACGCTTGAAAGTGTGCTGTGTTTTCAGCAGGTATTGCTAGCTTTTCAGACACGTCTTCTATATGACAATTAACGATGATTTTTAATTCTATAATAAATAACTTTGACTTTAAGTAGCCTGATATGATTCCTCCTATTTCTTATGATAATCCAAAATTGGTTTCACTCATGTGCTTGCCGATCGCTTTATGGAATTAGAATTTCTGAGGCTGTTGGTCATTTAAAGCAAGCATTGTGAAAGCCAGCAATAAACTCCCTCTTCCTTTTAAAATTCACTGTGATATCTGATTTACTGGAAGACCAGTGCTGCATGGTTATAATCGGGCTTGCAATGAATTTCACTTTCAAAGTAACTGGTGACACGAAGCTGTTGTATCGTCATTTTGTGAAATCGCAGACACTATATTATGTGGTTTGACAATGACAAACGCAGACAGCTTTCTCGTGTCCTAAGACATGCAGAGCCACACTGACACGTTAACTCTTCCAGTGTAAAGGAAAGGAATGATAGCTGGTATTCAAATGAATGTGGAGGATGCCAGCATTACAGAGCTAAAGGTTTTTGGCATCATCTAGGTTAGCCACCTGTTCTAGCTTCCATTTGCTGAATAAATTAGAAGCTCTTGGGAGAGTGTGTGCACCTGACTGGCCTTGTCTTGTTACCAAGGCAACCATTTTTCTCTCTGTTCTATGACTCTGAAAGGGTTCATAACCCATTAGTGCTCCTCTGGGCAAGAATATGAGAACATTTCTTTCTTTCTTTTTTTTAATTTTCCCTTTCCTTCTTTCCTCCATTTTCTGGTCAAGAGAATGTGAGCAGTAATTGCTCTTACCATATATGTATATTCAAGACTGCATTTCCCAGTTTCAAGGGGAAACTGGAGTGTAAATCTTAAAGGTACATGACAGCTAAATGGAGAAATGCATATAATAACGAAAAATGTCTTTCAACCTCAGATTCTTTCCAAATTGAAAATATTGGCAAAGCAGAGTTTATTGAAGCATATGTAAAAACACAGGCTTGTTGAGTCTAGTGCAAGGGGCAGCCTATGAAAGTCTCCTTCATAAAAAGTCCACATGTATTCATCTCTACCAGGCTTCTCTCGCTCTGTAGGGACAGTAAAACAAGAAAGGACAAGTGGATCTTATTTAAAATCAGATTTATCAAATCATAAATCTACTTTTTGAACGTCCAAGGACTAAGGAGCTGAAGCAGGTGACTTCCCACTATAGTAGCACCTGCAGGATCCATGCGTGACATGACTTCTAAGGGGCTCACAAAACCCAGAATTTGAGTTTTTTCTCTTTTTATATTGCAGAGATGTTATTGTTCCATCCCTCCTTTGTATACGCCCTACCTTTACTAAATATTTATGGATTTAATCATCTTTAGAAGGACTTTCGAGTAAGTAAAATTTTATTACCCTACTTCAGGCATTTTGCTTTTTCTGAGACAGAATTCTCTGGATAGCTCTGACTGTCCTGGAACTCACTTTGTAGATCAGGATGGTGGTGATCGCAGAGATCCACCTGCCTCTGCCTCCCGAGTGCTGGGATTACAGGAGTGTGCCACCACCTCCTGGCTCTATTCAGACATTTTGTATGGTCCTTAGCACATATATGGGACAAACCTTTTTATCTTGCTTCTTAATTGAATGACCTAAGGCCAAAGAAAGTAGGATTTGTATTTACATCAAGATCTAGCTTATTCTAAAAA